CCCTTCTGCTTGGACACCCATAATTTTAATGAATCTAGTGTATCCTCTTTCGGATTTTTTGTTAATTTTTTATGAAAGTTTCTAACGGTTGCGTCACTGATAGCTATCCCCTTCTTATGTTTTGATGACAAGGTCCCGGATTTCCTCAGCCACCTTTGGATACAGCCTTGCCATGGACCGCTTTTCGTGAGTTTTCTTTTCTTTGAACAGGGCATCAATGTCTTCCCAGAGTTCGAAAATAGTGCCAGTGTAATTTTGGGGCGATCTGGACGTACCGGATCCTGCGTTACTACTTCTTGCACCCCCATCCCGAACTTCACGAATATCATAGCCGAGGAGTTTTACGATTTCAGATAATTCGGAGATACTTTTTTGCTGCTTCTTTAGCGCTGAAGTCATTTTTGTGTTGAATTGTTTTTCGGCGTCCCCAGAATTGTATCTGGTTAGGAAGTAGAGAAATATCATTTGAACCAGCATGAAGGCAGCGAGGATTAAAAAATCAAAAATAGTCGAGATCATTTTAATAAGGTTTGCACGATTTGTAATTCGATTATGTTGTAACGAAACTAACACGACTAAGATTTTGCGATTATAGATTATGGTTCCTGTTTGGAAATTATGTGGACCAGTAGCTGGAAAATTATGTTTTTTACTTGGGGGTTATGTGTTAATGCTGTATGGAATTACGCGCGTGTTCACGTTTTAAATGATTACTTTGTATCTTAGGGCCAGACCACTGGGAGCACACGTTTTTATACGTCAGAGCTTGACATCAACGATCCATAGCATTGGTTCTTTATTTTTCGTACTAAATCGAAGCAATAAATCATAATACATGGTGATTTCGTACTATTTATGCCGAAAAATGCGCATCGGACAATCGTTCACCTATAAAATCGTGTGTATATCGTCGATAATTGACAATTTCCCATGTATCACTCGATATTTTTGTTTGTTACTTAATTTAGATGGTCCTATTTCGGAATAAATGACACTTTGACTCTGCATCACGTTCTCGAACACATGCTCCGATCACGGGTAATAGAAACATGCTACGTAATACGTAAAAAATATGATTATCATGATCGCGGTTTA